CGGGGGCACGCGAAAAACCCCCACCCCAGCCACTGAAAGTGAAGAGTGAGGAAAAGGTGGCCAGGGCTGTGTTCCCAGCACTGCTGAAGACCACATGTGTGGGCAGGGACAGCACAGAGGTAACTTTCCTGCCTGGAAAGGCTGATCTGAAACACAGCTTGACTCAGGGTTGGGAACACATCAGCACCTCCAGCCCTGCCCTGGCTGCGGCCCAGCACACGCCCACAGCACTCAGCAGCCCTTGGGAGCTCAGGCTCCCCTCGGAATCCTTTCCAGACCATCCTGCCTCTGCAGACACTCACGTCCCTCCGCAGAACTCGATGGAAGTGATGGAGCCTGCAGGGCCTGAGGGGTCAGCCAGCAGGTCCTCCACGGGGATGCCGATGGAGACCACGCGGACGGGGTCGGGGTAGGTCTCGTCAAACACTGCCCGCAGTCCCTGGATGGCTTTGGCTGCTGCCAGAGGGCAGTCCTTGGCATAGACAGGCTGCAGGGCACAGGACAGGGACACAGGTCAGAGAGGAGTCCTCTCAGCTGTGGCTGAGGGCACACACATTCCCAGATTGCCTCCAAGATGCCCTAAAAGGGATGTTCCGTGCCTCGCCTCGCCCACGCTGGGGTTTATTGAACTGTGGGGCTCCCAAAGCCATTGAGAGCCCCCCCATCTGCAGAATTCCTCACTCCACTGCCTGCTCAGACCCCCCCCGTGCTCCTGTACCTTCCTCCCTAAGCACAGACTCCTGAGCAGAGCACAGGGTCCTCTAGGGTCTGTTCTGACCCTGGGCTGGCACCAAATGGAGTAGCTCTCTCACCACTGACATCACAACACTGGGGGACTTGGGGGTACACTGTCCATCCAGAGAGGCCAGCAAAACCACCGTGTCTTGGCTCTCATGGGACACTAGAGCAGGCACAGAGCCTGAAAGAGTCATTAATCCCTGGCCCAGGCTGCCCAGGAAGGTGGTTGAATCCCCATCCTTGGAGGGGTTTAGAAGCTGGGTAGACATCGTGCTGAGGGACACAGGTGAGCACCAGACACAGGAGAGTTGGGTTAATGGTTGGTCTCAATTTCTTAAAGGTCTTTTCCAACCAGAACAATTCTGTGACTCTGTAACCCAAGAGAGGGCTCAGTACCAATGCACAGAGCAATCCACATGGGGTTTTCCCTCTTGGAATACTCTGGGGTGCCAGCCTGCACATCAGCAGCTGAGGGGACCCGCTGGGCCAAACTCCCACCCACCCCAGCTCATCCAAAACCTTGACTCACACTCAATTTTTTCCCTTGAGCACATCCAGCCCAGCAGCTGGAAATACCTTTGCCTCCTCAATCATCTGGTTGGCAATGCCTTCGACCTTCTTGATCTCCTGGCTGGACAAGGCTCCCTTGGCTGTGAAGTCGAAGCGCAGCCTGTCGGGGGCCACCAGCGACCCCCTCTGTTCCGCCTCCCCCAGCACGGAGCGCAGGGCGAAGTTGAGGATGTGAGTGGCCGTGTGGTTGCTCATGACCGGCCTCCTGCGGCTCTGAGGGGGGGAAGCACCGTTAGACAGGGCCAACAGCACCCTCTGCCAGCAGAACTGGAGGTTAAGGTGCTGCTCCAACAGAAACCTAAGGAGAACAGGAGGAACTTGGCACGCTTGCTGCCTTGGAGCCACTGCTAAGGAAGCGGGACATTCCCCACCAAACCTGTGCAGGACTTTTCCCCTCATTGGGTCTGTCTGGAGAGACAAAGTTCCTCGAATCCTGGGGTCAGTTCTGGGCCCCTCAGGACAAGGACACTGAGGGGCTGGAGCGTGGCCAGAGAAGGGCAGGGGAGCGGGGGAAGGGGCTGGAGCACAAGTGTGAGCAGGAGCAGCTGAGGGAGCTGGGGGTGTCCAGCCTGGAGACAAGGAGCTGAGGGGAGACCTGCTGGCTCTGCAGCTGCTGAGAGGAGGTTGGAGCCAGGGTGGTTGGTCTCTGCTCCCCAAGAACAAGGGATGGGACAAGAGATGACCTCAAGTTGCCCAGGGAGGTTGAGATTGGACCTTGGGAACAGTTCCTTCCCCAAAGGGCTGTCAGGCCCTGGCCCAGGCTGCCCAGGGCAGTGGGGGAGTCCCCATCCCTGGAGGAATTTCAAAGCTCTGCAAATGTGGAGCTGAGGGACATGGGGCAGTGGTGGCCTTGGCAGGGCTGGGTGAAAGGTTGGACAAGGTCTTTTCTGACCAAAATGATTCTGTGATTTTATGACAGAGACACTCATCAGGGAAAGGCTCTGGCAAGGTGGGAGGCTCCCCTCTGGCTCCACAGGAAACACACCTTGCGGAGGAGGCTCAGTGCAGCACCCACTGAGCAGGCTGAGCCCATGGGAGCCATGTCTGGAGGGGGGCAGACAGCCCAGGCCACCACAGACACCACCCCACAGCACCACACCTCCACCTCCCAGCTGTGCCCCAAAACGTGCTGCTGCTGCACAGCAAAACCCAAGGAGCACAGCCCTGAGCCAGCTGGGCCTTATCTGTCCCCTGGCAGGAAGAAGCCAGATGCCAGGCAGGAGAGGCCTGGAGTCACCCCCACTGGAAAGACCACACTCCTTGCTAGCATCTTTGAGCAACCTGGCCTGGTGGGAGGTGTCCCTGCCCATGCAGGGGGGTTGGATCTCAATGATCTTTAAGGTCCCTTCCAACCCAAACCGTTCCATGATGTGATTCCATGATCTTGTGCCACAGGGAGAGCAGACCCCAAACTTCAGGCAACTCAAGTGGCTTCAAGAGAAGGAGGCAAAATCCAGGGAAGAGGTGAGGGTGGCTGTTGCACCAGTTCTTCACTCACCTCATCAATGGACAGGTGGACCTGATCTCCTACTTTCAAGCTTCCATAGAGGGTTCCTATGTGGAGCACGTAGCCTCCTCGGACCTGCACGTTCTTCACTGTGAATTCTGTTTTCTGCCCAGAGAAGGAAAAGGACCCAGTGAGCAGGTGAGAGGGCAAGAAGACAGTCCAACCAGGGTCTGAGCTGCAGCTGGAAAGGTCTCAGCTGAGAGCCAGGCTGGTGGGTGTGACAGGAGAAAGCTGAGTGTCCCCAAGCACAGCAGAGAGAGCCACAAAGCAGAGAGCATGGAGATGGGGCACGGGGACAGGGCACAGCAGAGCTGGAACTGTTCCTCACCTCAGCTCATCACCCCCCAGCCCAGTCCTCCTCACAGCAATCCCAGCTCCCACCACCTCCCAGTCCTGTCCTCCTCCCAGCAATCCCAGCTCCCTGCACCTCACAGCCTTGTCCTCACAGCAATCCCAGCTCCCAGCACCTCCCAGCTCTGTCCTCACAGCAATCCCAGCTCCCTGCACCTCCCAGCCTTGTCCTCACAGCAATCCCAGCTCCCAGCACCTCCCAGCTCTGTCCTCACAGCAATCCCAGCTCCCTGCACCTCCCAGCCTTGTCCTCACAGCAATCCCAGCTCCCAGCACCTCCCAGCTCTGTCCTCACAGCAATCCCAGCTCCCTGCACCTCCCAGCCTTGTCCTCACAGCAATCCCAGCCCCAGGCACCCACGTTCTCAGCCAGCTTGTTTGAGCTCAGTTCCCCAGGAAGCAAAGGGAACAAACTCCAGCACATCAGTCCACCCTGCACATCCAGAAAGGAAACTGTGCAACCAAGGACAGGAGAGTGATGGAGTGTGCTTGTCCCTTCTTCTCCACACACCCTGCCCAGGCCCCCAGCTCACACTGGGCCCAGCCAGAAGCTCTCAGGCTCAACTCACATCCTCTCTGCTCTCATCCTCCTTGACCATGTAGCCCTGGTCATAGATCTGCCCCCCTTGCTCGGCGTAGAAGCAGGTCTGGTCCAGCACAATCCCACACTCCTGGCCAGTGGACACCTCCTCCACAAACCTCTTCTCCCTGCGGATGGCTTGCACAGTGGCCACGAGGCTCCCAAAATCTGTCACCAGGACAACAGGCAGTGTCAGTAAAACCTTGTGGACACCAGGTGGGAGGAGAACTTCATAGGAACACCTCCCAGCTAGAGCAGGAGCTCGGGGCAGCTACATTTGCAGGGTTAAGGAAGGAGAAAGAACCAAGGTAAAGGTTAGTTGGAGAAGAGGGAATTGCATTCTGTGCTCTCTAAGGCAGGGTTGGCACTTTCTTCCACACCTGGATGGTAAAAACCAGCCACGTGTGCTGCTACAAGCCTGGGGCCTCCTGAATCTCTACCAAACCAAAGCATGAGCAGCAAAAGCCAGAAGAAGTGGGCCCTGCAGTCTCCTGTGATACTGGTAGAAGAGCAGAAGGAAACATAGCCCCAGAAATGCAGAGACACAAAGCTGCAGGGAACAGGAATCCCTCCAAACACCCCTGAGCAGGTTGGCAACCCCAGACCTGAGCAGCAGGTGGGGCCCCCAGCAATCTGCCCTCCTCCTCCCCTGCTCCCTTTGCTACACACAGGCTGTTGTCCTGCACACATTTCCACTCCCACCTCCCAGGAAAGGTGAGCCCAGAAGGAGACCTTGCTGAGGTACATGCCAGGAAAGGTTGGGCAGCAGAGGATGATTCTGAGAAGGTTTCTTTTTCTTACCATAGGCACCACTCTGATCTGAAGCATAGCTGTACTTTGGTGAGTCATCAGTCACCTCCAGCCCTCGGGCCCTCAGCTCTTCAATGGCATAAATGTCCAGCATGAGGAGGTCCTCCCCACCTGCACCTTTCCCTTGGGATTTGAGCTGTCAACAACAAGCACCAAAGTTGGAGAAAACCCACCTCAGCACTGGCCTGTGCACCCCAGCCTGGTCACACCCCTCCCTCACATCCCTCAGAGCTTCTGAGGTGGGTTCTGAGGTGGGAGGTGGGTTCAGAGCTTTGCCCTGTGCCAGCAGCTGGAGGGTTCCCATCTTTTCTGACTTGGGAGCAGGCTGTTCCAGTGGTACCAGCATGCAGGCCTGAGCCCAGCAAGGGCACAGCAAGTACCCAGCCACCAGCTCAATGCCTCTCTCTGCTGCAGCAAAGTGCTGGGAGAGGCACCTGAGCTGCAGGCCTGTCTGGACACTGCTCCTCCAACAGGGGAGTCCTGAACTTCCCCACCCAGAACAGGAGCAGTTGTCCCAGCACATCACCAACTCTGAAGGCTGAGCTCCAGGCCCCTGACTTTGCAGAGCTAGTGAGCAGACCCTGCCCCAGCTGCACAGAAAGATGTGTCCCACACAGTGACAAAGAACCCAGACTGGTTTAAGTTGGAAGGGACCTTCAAGATCATCTAGTTCCAACCCCCCTGCATGGGCAGGGACACCTCCCACCAGCCCAGGTTGCTCCAAGCCCCATCCAACCTGCCCTTCAACACTGCCAGGGATGGGGCAGCCACAGCTTCCCTGGGCAACCTGGGCCAGGCTCTCACCACCCTCAGAGTGAAGAATTTCTTCTAATACCTCATCTAAATCTCCCCTCTTCCAGTTTGAAACCCTTCCTCTAGACATGCCCAGGGCTCTGGGGCACTGGGGGTGTGAGCAGACCCAGTAAGAAAGGAGCAAACACTCTGACAGCAAACTGAGAAGGGAACCCTCCCTGCCCACAGCAAGCTGAGCAGAAGGGAACCCTCCCTGCCCACAGCAAGCTGAGCAGAAGGGAACCCTCCCTGCCCACAGCAAGCTGAGCAGAAGGGAACCCTCCCTGCCCACAGCAAGCTGAGCAGAAGGGAACCCTCCCTGCAGAGCAGCTCCCCTGGAGCTGTTCCTCTACCTGCGCATTTTTCCGCTCCTCTTCAAAACCCTCCATGTCCACAATAGGTGTCATAGAGCAGCCAGGCAGTGTCACCTGCAGAGGAAAAGCGAAGCAGTCAGCCCTCCTGCTCCACAAAGACACTGCTCCTGTGCCCCCTCTCCCACTGGCTCCGTCCCACCCAACTGGCTCTGCTGTGGCAGGACAGTGAGCAGATCTGGTGAAGATGAACACCTGAAAGGCTCCTCTGACAGCACAGAGATCACCACGTTGTGTCTGGGCAGCTCAGAAACCCGAGCAAGTAAACACAGGGCAGAGGGGAAGAGGTGGGTGGCCCAGCTGTGAGCAACAGGCTTTTGAATCACACAGAATCACAGAATTATTGAGGCTGGAAAAGACCTCCAAGATCATCAAGTCCAGCCTGTGACCTGACACCACCACATCTCCAGACCATGGCACTAAGTGCCACCTCCAGCCTTTCCCTGAGCACCTCCAGGGATGGTGCCTCCACCCCTTCCCTGGGCAGTCCATTCCAAGGTCTGATCACCCTTTCCATGAGGAAGTGCTTCCTGATATCCAACCTAAACCTCCCCTGGTGCAGCTTCAGGCCAGGCCTCTCATCCTGTCACTGGTTGCCTGGGAGAAGAGCCCAACCCCACGTGACTACAACCCTTCAGGTAGATGTAGAGGGTGATCAGGTCTCCCTTGAGTCTCCTCCAGGCTGAACAACCCCAGCTCCCTCAGCCTCTCCTCATAAGACTTTCCCTTTAGTCCCTTCACCAGCCTCAGTGACTCCAGCTCATCCCACACATCTTCCATCAGCTCAGTTTCCAACCCAGCTGAGCCCGAAGTTGGTCCCAGATAAGAAATTACCTTTGGTGCACCCAGACAGAAGTCCCAGCCTTACCAGGGATGGTTTTACTGTCTCCCAGACTCTGAATCTTCCTGTCAAGGATGCGACGTCCTCTGCTGAGTGTTTTCAGGAACTGATCCTCTTCCTCATTGATAATGTCCTTCACCATGTCCGGGTCCTTCTTCAGCTCGGGAAAGGCATCTCCCTGCAGACCCAAGAGAATTAGTCCTTCAGCAGGGAGATCTGCAGACTTCAGCACAGGAAGTCTTCAGCAGAGACAGCAGAGCAGGGGAAGAACTCACCAGTGACTGCACCACCACATCAACCAGAGTGGCAAAGAAACCCTTGGGGGCGTTGAGCTTCTCGTGGGAGTAGCGCACAGCCCGCCGGAGGATCCTCCTCAGCACGTACCTAGAACAGCAGAGCCCCCCATGCAGACATCACACCTCTCAGCTCTTCCCAGGGGATCCAGCACCATCCACCCAGTTCTCATCCCACATCTTCTCTCAATGGGCTGCTCAGGCCAGCAGCAAGCCAGAGGTGAGGGGCCAGGCTCCAGATCCAAGACCCAGCCTCACTCTGTGCTTCAAAGTCAGCAGCTCCCACAACACAGCCCTCAGCCCAAACTTCACTGGGTTTTTGCAAAGCAGGACTGCACCGAGCAGGGTTTCATGTCTGTCTGCCCATGGTGACCCTTTCTGGGGGCTGGCACAGCAGGACTGTGCTACAAGGACCCTCAGATCTGTGTGTCTTGGCCTTTTGGGCTGACCTGGCTACAGGCATTCAAAAATACAGAGCAAACGCTTCGATCCCCACTGCTTGAGTGATGCATCCTGTGACATCCCAGAGACAGGTGACATCCCACAGCCCTCAGAGAAGCTGAAGAGGAGGGGCAGCTCCTTTCTTACCCTCTGCCAGTGTTGTCAGGCCTGCCCCCGTCGGACAGGGCCAGGGTGATGGTGCGTGCGTGGTCAGCCAGCACCCGGTACGCCATGTCGATGCCGTCGGCGTCCTCAGCACCAACCTGCCCCAGGTAGGGCCTGGCACCCGTGCCCTGCACAGGGAGAAGGTGGTGGCCAAAGGGGACACAGTTAAGGGGACCAGCAACATGACAGGAAGGCAAACAAGAACATTGTGTGTCCAGCCAGTGGCTTTAACACCGAAGAAAGGCAGACGCTGGTTCCAGCTCCGGAGCTCCACACCTCACCCCTCAGGGGCAGCAGGAGCCTGGGATCTCTTCCCTGCTGTTTATTTTCCAGCAACATCTACACCCAGGAAGCTCTGGCTCTCCCATGAAGGAAAAGAAAAGGCTTGGACTTGCACACCAAGTTCCCAGCACAGCTCCCACCAAGGAAGATGCAGGAACAGCAGCCTGGTTCTGCCATGGTTTATGGCCAAGGCCTTCTCTCCCAGGGGATTTCCCACAAACCAGCATGTTCAGGGTGAGAGGCTGAAGGACAAGCCCTGGTTCTGGCTCAGCAGCACCACGTGCTCTCTATCACACAGCAAAAAGATGGTGCTTGGCCAAGAGAAGACCAAGGAGTGTGCCAGCAGGACAGTTCACATCAAGTATCATAGAATCATGGAATCCCAGGTTGGTTTGGGTTGGAAGGGACCTTAAAGATCATCCACCCCAACACCCTGCATGGGCAGGGACACCTCCCACCTGCCCAGGCTGCTCCAAGCCCCATCCAACCTGCCCTTCAACACTGCCAGGGATGGGGCAGCCACAGCTTCCCTGGGCAACCTGGGCCAGGCTCTCACCATCCTCACAGCAATGGGAAAGCTGCACTGCTTGTCCTGTGTCTTCCCCTGGAAACAGTGCCCCTTCAGGCACTGGAAGGTGCTCCAAGGTAGGAATTCCTGTCCCAGCCTG